TGCGGGCCGATCACGCTTGCTACAAATGGTGGTCGGCGGTATTTTCTCCTGCTCGTGGATGATTGCAGTCGCTACATGTGGCTGCAACTCCTGATGAGCAAGGATGAAGCGGCGATGGTGATCAAGAAGTTCAAGACGCGTGCGGAGACCGAGAGCGGCAAGAAGCTTCGTGTGCTGAGGACTGATCGCGGCGGTGAATTCACTTCAGTGGAGTACGCTGCATACTGCACGGATCAGGGTGTGGGGTAACACCACACCACGCCATACTCGTCACAATAGAATGGCGTGGTGGAGAGGCGGAACCAGACGGTGGTCGTCATGGCCCGATCCAGGATGAAGGTCAAAGGCATGCCGGTAAGGTTCTAGGGTGAGGCAGTGATCACGGCGGTGTTCATCCTAAACCGATCTCCGACCAAAGCCCTAACGGGCAAGACGCCGTTCGAAGCTTGGTATGGGCGCAAGCCGAGCGTGTCCTTCCTTCGGACATTCGGCTGCATCGGCCACGTCAGGAAGACAAAGCCGAACCTCACCAAGCTGGAGAACAGGAGCACACCCATGGTGTTCCTGGGCTACGCGGAGGGTACCAAGGCGTACTGGCTCTACGACTCACGCGGAGATAAGGTGCTTGTCTCGCGCGACGTCGTGTTCGACGAGAAGGCAGCTTGGGACTGGAGCAATCCGAGCACGGGAGAAGTTGGTAGCTTCACCAACACCTTCATCGTCGAGCATTTGGTCATCCACGGTGGTGGAGACGCTGGGGAAGAGGTGCCGAGCACTCTGACGGTAGAGCCGTGCACTCCTGGGGCAGTGCCGAGCACTTTCTGGAGGGATGCTGAGCACGCGCAGGAGTGGTGCCGAGAGGTTCTTAGTGGTGAAGACCACTCCAGGACGGGTACCGAGCACTCCCGTGGTGGAGCCAAAACGTCTTACAGTGGTGTCGACCACTCCAAGACTGAGGCAGGGCACTCCTATAGTGTGGCCGAACACTACAGGAGTTATGACGAGAAGTCCAGAAATAGCGCCAAGCACTGAACCTAGGGTGATGAGCACTTCAGGTAATATGCCGAGCACTCCGACGGAACAGGGAACTCCTTCGACACCGATCGAGTTCACCTCACCTCCAAGTGACATCACTGAGTTCGTGGATGCCTTTCACGAAAGTGAGGAGGTGTGGTTCCGCAGGCTGGATGATATCGTCGGCGGCACAGGTCCCTCAGGCTTGGCGGGTAGGTTGCTCAACGACGCAGAGCTGCTACTCGTCAGTGCTGAGGAACCACCCACGTTCGCGCTGGCCGAGCGCGATGGAAACTGGCGACGAGCGATGCTGGAGGAGATGAAGGCGATCGAAGAAAACGAGACTTAGCAACTCGTCGATCCACCTCCAGGATGTCGTCCGATCAGCCTGAAGTGGGTGTACAAGGTCAAACGGGCGAGCTAGGCGCCATTATCAAGCACAAGGCGTGCCTCGTAGCCCGATGCTTTGTTCAGCGCGAGGGCATAGACTTCGAGGAGGTCTTTGCGCTAGTAGCGCGCATAGAGTCGGTCCGTTTGCTACTTGCTTTAGCAGCAGCAAAGGACTGGCGCGTCTATCACTTGGACGTTAAATCGTCCTTCCTCCAGGCTTTGCCGTCAAGGAGAGGAGCACAGGGTGCTCCGACTGCGCAAGGCACTCTACGGGCTGCGGCAGGGCCTTCGAGCATGGAATGCCAAGCTTGACGCCACGCTGGGCGAGCTTGGGTTTCAACGGTACACAACCGAGCACGCGCTCTATACGCGGCGACGGGGGAAGGAGGAGCTCATCATCGGCGTGTATGTGGATGACTTGATCATCACCGGCGCGCGTACGGAGGATATCAACTGCTTCAAACGCGAGATGGTGGCTCATTTTCGAATGAGCGTTCTCGGCGACTTCTCCTACTACCTCGGCATCGAGGTGACATAGGAGAAGGAAGAACTCACGCTCGGTCAGAGCGCGTATGCCTTCAAGCTGTTGGAGAGGAGCGGCATGGCTGAGTGCAAGCCATGCGTGACTCCGATGGAGGAGCGGCTAAAGCTGACGAAGGCCAACATCGTCGGCGGTTTGCGCTACCTAGTCCACACGAGGCCGGACATTACGTTCGCCGTGGGCTACGTCAGTCGCTTCATGAAGGATCCTAGAGAGGATCACTAGGCTGCGGTGAAACGGCTACTGCGCTACGTCAAGGGGACGGTAGATCATGAGATCATCTTCCCAAAGATCGGCGAGAGTAGGCTACTGCTCACTGTGTTCAGCGATACAGACATGGCAGGGGACATCGACGGGCGATGGAGCACCTCTAGCGTGCTTTTCTTTCTCGGGTTAGCCCCAATTTCATGGCTGTCGCTGAAACAGAAGGTGGTGACGCTATCTACGTGTGAGGCAGAGTACATAGCGGCGGCCACAACGGCGTGCCAAGTTGTGTGGCTACGCCGGCTTCTGGGCGAGCTAACCGACGTGGAAGCTCACCCACCAGCACTAATCGTGGACAACCAGCTCGCCGTCGCCCTCGCGAAGAATCCGGTTCTGCACGAACGGAGTTAACATAGCGACGTAAAGTTCCACTTCCTCAGGTACTGTATCGATGGAGGGCAGATCGTCATCGAGTTCGTCGAAACTGGTCGGCAACTCGCGGACGTCCTCACCAAGCCGCTCGGACGTCTTCGACTCACGGAGCTGAAGGAGATGATCGGCATGGAGGGGGTACAAGGGTTAGCAGTAGGATTAGGTGAAGATTGTTAGATAATCATCGCTACCTTGTGTGAACACTGACAAGGGAAGGCGGCGCAAAAAAGTCCCCCCTATTTGTGATCAGTAGCCGTTGTAGGTGCGGCGCCGATCCGCTCACCAAAGACCTTGTAGGCACATGCAAATGACCGGCATAGAGTCACCACATATGTTATCTAGTCATCTGCTGTTGCAGGGAGGCTGTATCTTTGAGACTAGATGGATAGAGTTGTATAAATAGACTACCACAGCAACTCTGTAAAGAGAGTTCAGATTTGTCATCTCACAGACAGGGCTTCGGCCAACGCTGGTGTCTTGTATTGTGTGTGCTTGCTCTGTTCTTCCTTCTTCTTCTAGCTCCAGCCATAGTGTGTGGGGACGGATAACGCCTGTTCGTGGTCGACACGGCTAGTGGGTGCTCGACAACACTAATAGATGCTCGACAAGACTTATGAGTGGTTCACTCACCGAGCCGATAATCCTGTAGACCAACACTCCCAACACTCTACGACATCGAGAAGCATTGTGAGGAACATGGGGATGTCACGTCAGTTACGGAGGACTGGGAGATCATCTCCCAGAGATCATCTCCCAGACCGACGGTAAGACCATGAGGCCAGGTGAGCTTCCTCCTATGGTCAGTACACTGACCACAAGTCGGGAGGGCAAGGAGGGCGCACTGGAAGAGGCGCAGGCCACCGTGGTCGTTCACCCGGAGAAAGAAGGGCGGCAGCATGTGGAAGTTAGGGCTGTGGGTGTCAGCCATGGTGGCTAAGCCGGAGGAACCACGTTGGTTGTCTATCTAGCAGCTAAAACCTCTGGGCACGCACTGTAAAATTGGATGTACATATGGCTGTGACCTCTCTAGGAGATCTGTGTTTAGAACTATATAAATGTTCACGCTGCTTGTAAAAATGTTCAAAACAGAAAAATGTTCACGCTGCTGAAAAAAGCCTATAAAAATATAGAAAAAAAGATTCAGCGCTGGGTTCAAACCCAAGCCTTTAAGCTAAGTCGCGCGCATCCTAATCAGCTGAACCGTAATGGCGTTATTATATGTTTCTCGAAATAATTATACTTATTTCATTTCAAACGCTAAAATCTATAGGGTAACAGCTCCGGCGCCAAGATCTACGGCGCCGAGGTCTTGTCCACGTCGGCGTCAGGTCACCACCACGTCCGATGCCTCGCCAAAACCTTCCTTGGCGCCAAAAGTCATGGCGCCGAGATTAGGATTCATAAACAAAAATTAAACCAACGTAGGTCTATTTGTGAATATTTTTTTTTAAAAAGGCTGAAAATTAATTTTTTTTTTTAAAAAGGCTGAAAATTAAAAAATTCGGTTCGGGCGTCCAGGTTCGGCGGTTCAGGGCGGCAGGTGCACCCCCGTTGGGTTGCGGCACGAGCAAGGCACGACGCGACGCGACGCGACGGGCGGGGCCGCGCAGGTGGCTCTTCCCCGTCCACCGGCGGGCGCGTCCCCGTACATGTCCCCGCCAGCGACGACACCGCCTGCGCCTGGTCCCCGCGCCGCCCAAAGCCCGCACACGTAGGCCCGGCGCCCCGCCCCCGATCTGATCGATCTCCGTCGTCCTCCCTCCGATCCCCCGGACGGGACGTGCCAAACCATCGTATTTCCTCGCTCCCATCAGCCGTGGCCGCTGCCGTTCATTCAGCTAGCCGGCCGGACGCAGGCAGGACGCCAGGACGGCGGCCAGATTCTGGAGATCATTAACTCTGGACGAACGAATTCATGATCAATGAATATTTGTTTGGCTGGTCCCGGTCCGGTCGATCCATGGATCGAACGAATCCAATGCATGGACGACATGGACCAGTTAGTTCGAATTTCGAAACGACGAGGAGCGAGGAGACCCTAGCTACGGCCACATCTTTGTTGCAATGCATGCAATTGCATTGCAATCGAGTGTCCATGCCCATGCATATGCTTTGTTTGCCTAGATCTCGCTAGTAGTACATAATAGTACCATGCGCCAGGTTTGTGGTGTTCATGATTCCGGCTGATTGCTGCCCCTTTCGTTCGTTTGCACGCATGCTCATATCATCATCATCATCGATCTCGGATTCTTCACGACACGGCCTCTCTGCTGATCATGGAGGTTGCGAAACGCGCGTGCGTGCGTTGATTATGTTGCATGTCATCTGACGACAGGGTATGTAGATGGATCCACTGAAGATAATAGAGGTGACATGGAGATGGCAATGGCATCCGTGGAGTTGCTTTCGTGCACAGCCCATGCTGCTGACGACGGCCAGCGTTGAACGTAGTCTCCCTCTGTCTATTTCTCTCTCTGTCTTTGAGACATTCTCGTGTAATTCGATAGGGACAGCACGTAATACATATGTAATAGATAGATTAGATGAAGTAACATAACAATCATATTTGATCTCTGCCGTTTCTCTCTGGTTGGTGGGAAAACGAGCGACCCCCAACACCGGCTCCGAGCATTTCTTCGCCCATACGTCTGGAAGATGGGTGTGGCATGAAGATGGGCGACAGGCCCATGTTCAAGGAAAAGGAGATGAGGCTGGCGAGTTTTCTGAAGCCAATGGGGGTGCTTCCGAGCTGGAGAAAGGCACTGATGTGGAAATGTCATTAGAGGTTGAGGAGGGCAGGGATGGAGGCGATGCTGGTACGGGGAGTGGGTGCTGCTCTAGGTGCTCAAAAAAGGGACATGCAGCGGCGGCTTGCAAGGCGGAGGTGTATTGTGTGTTATGCGACTCGCATGAACACATGAACCACAAGTGCCCTCTTCTTAAAGCGCCGAGGCCGGTGGCTTATGCGGCGGGTTATGTAGTGATGGGGCTAGGATTCTATCATATCCCGCATCCACCGTTGCCAAGGACGAAGAAAGACTCCAAGATGGCCAGAGTCTCGGTGGTGGGTGGCTCTCTGTCCGCCGACCAGCTAGTGTTGCAGCTAAGAAGGGTGGTGCCGGTTAAGTGGAATTGGGAGTTGAAGGAGCTTGGGGAAGACGAGTTTCTTACCCAATTTCCTTCCAAGGCTGAGCTGTGAATTACGTTCAATAGCATATGGGGGAGCGGATGCAAAGGGGGAAGGAGTGCCTGATAGTATTAGAATGCAGTTTGAAGAGTGGCAAGAAAAATAAGAGGGCTTCCTGCTACCCAAGGTGTGGGTGAGGGTGAGATGCATCAGAAAACCGCTTCGTGAATTCCCCATCTTATGGGCGGTGGGATCTTTGTTAGGCGCGATGCAGATTGTGGACATGGAGACCACAAGGAAGAATGAGTTTGGACGCATTTTAGTTGCGGTCTTGATCCTAAGCTGATTCCGAGGATGCTAGATGTGGTGATTGGTGATTATTATTTTGACTTGGAGTTTGAAGTGGAGAAGAGGGGTTTTGATGAGAAAGGAGAGGAGGTTGATGTTGAATGGGATGGCGGGGAAGGCGAGGGAGATGGAGAGGGGAAGAGCCAGGGTCCGAACATTTACGATGGCTGAATAATGATCAAAAGAAGCTGAGAAATAACAAGCGCTCTAAAAGGAGTGATGGGAGGACAATAGGAGAGATTCCCGGTCGGAGAATGATGTTCCATTTAATGGACATGTTCTCAGTAAGGAGGAATTTGAAGAATTCCTTAGTTGGAAGGCCAACAAGATACTCGATGTAGTGGTGGAAGAGGTTTTGGAGGACCTAGCTGATAAAGTGGTGAAAGAGCCGGATGAGTCCATGGAGGGGGGCAACTGATAACCTTGGGTTGGCTGAGGTTAATTCAGAGGAGGTGGACGCTGGAGGGGTTCTAATGGAAGTGGAAGGATGTGCTGCAGTTCCACAGATCAAGGAGCTGGGTGAAGATGCAAAAGTTTCTACTTAAGAAGAAAGGGAGAAGAGTTGCTCGGTGATGGATGTGGTCGAACCTGCTGGTACGAAGCTCGTAGGAGCTGCATTAATCAAGGAGGTGGTCTATTCTCCGACAAGGGTGAGTCTGAGGCTTGTTGGAGTGGTGGCTGAGCACACTCTGGTGCGGGCTGAGCGCTTAATGCAGTCCAAAAATCTGGAATGCAACAAAGGTACTTTTCAGGGGGACTTTTTGGATCAGGCAATGGTCCATGTTGTCTAAAGAGGAAGAGGGAAGAAAGTTGAAGGAGGGCTGCAGGCGTCTAGAAGGCTTGGCGCTGTAATTTTTTGGATCCAGTTGGTGGAGGAATCAAAAGAGAATAGAATAGTAAACCCAGGTGTTCTGGTGTTTTGGGGAGCTTTGAATTTCGTTTCTGTCATGTTATCTTGTGCCGTAAGATGGCTGTGGATAGTGAAGTCGCTGCAAGTTTGCTGATGTGGTTTCAGGTGAACTGGAATTAGTAACCTCTACGTTGCTTTGGGAGCTTTGAACTTGGTTTCTGTCCAGTTATTGTTGAATGTAGGGGTTGTTAGCAGTGAAGCCATTGTAAGGTTGCTGTTAACTGTAAGGAAGATCGTCCGATTAGCGGAAGTTGGGCTAAGTCCCTTTTGTAATGTCAAGCTCTAAGCATTCACGTGTGAATGTGAAGGCTGAAATACTTTGTTCCGAAATTAAAAAAAAAATGGCGCTCTCACACGGCCTCTGCGGCTCTGCCTGCTGGTTAATCCTAATAGCCTGTGCACGGGGTAAGCTGAATATTTATTTGAAATCTGGAAATCTCCTCGTTTCAGACCAAGTCTCTCCGTGAACGATTTTCTAAATGCAGATATGACGCGAGATTATTTGCTATTCCTGGTCAGATTTGAGCCTGTGTAAACGAGTAAGACTACTCGTCCTTCTTCTGATTATATATATAATATATATATCACTGAGATGGAGACACATTCCAGCGCTAGTTTACTGTCCAAATATAAATCTGTACCTGCTTCTGAACCTCGTCCAGACAGATCCCGTGTGGCTCTGTTCAACGCGAATTTTGTTGGACCGGCCAAACGAATCCAATTAACGCTCCATACAGATTATATATATCAGTCAGTCCGTATTATTACTAATTTTCTGGCCTATATACAGATCAGAAAGCGCCAAGCAGAACGTGCTAAACGGGTGCTAGGTCATCATCAGCAGTATAAAAACCGAGGATTTCTTCTGCTGGGAGGGAGCTGCTGGAATAATAATGTTTCTTTCCGCGGATTAGGTTACACAAAGGCACAGGATGCGAAAACAAACAAATGCATAGTTTGAGGCAGCAAACGAGATGCTTTCAGTCGCTGCCGTAATCTGTTGCTATTCCTTTCCCCCAATTCGATGGACGAGATGGCCCCACCACCCGTACGAGGCGGAAAAGGCCAATTCCATCTCCATGGACGAACGAGAACGACGAGCAAGGCGGCAAGGCCTCGATGGTATTGATTACTAATGTTTAATAAAGTTTAGATTTAAACTGTACACGAGTCATTCACGCAACAGTTAAATACACAGTGTAATCTTTGGTATAGAGATGGCGCCAAAGCATCACGTCGGCCGTTCCGTAGGGACACAGACAAAGAACTCGATGATGAACAGCTGAGACGAGACGAGACGGGGCGATGGGTCGTCTCGGAGGAGTTCACGTCAAGGTCGTGTATGCGTCTTGTCCCTGAAAAATTTGTGCAGAGATGGTGGTGTCAGTCGGAGAGGACGAAGGTCGCCAGTGTCCGTGCTGGATTTGGTTTGATTCGGTGGTCGGTGGAAGAGAAGCCAAGGACGTAGGACGTACGCTGGACTTCTTGCAGTAGAGGATGGCGTCGCGGACGGCGGTGTCGGCATTGCCGTGGCACCACTCGAGGCTGGACGTGGACGCGCGCGCCGGGCTGGCCGGCGCCACGCGGGGCCGGCGCCGACGCGCCGGGAACCGCCGCATGGCCCTCACCTTCCGGTACAGCGGCACCAGGAACCGGACGTACTGCAGCAGTATCTTCCACGACGACGCGCGCCTCCCGCTGGAGCACGAGCTCGGGGACGGGGACGGGGACGGGGAGGCCGGCGTGCTGTGGGCCGAACGGAACAGCGGCGACCGCGGCGCGCTGGGCGGGTCGGCGGCGCGTTCCTGGAGGACGGCGGGGTCGCCGGGGAGGAGGCGGCCGTTGCGGATGACCCGGCTCGCGCTGACCAGCACCGGGGTCGGGGGGTCACTGCCACCGCCCCCGCCGCCGGGAATAAGGCCGAAGTCGAAGTCGCTCTCCGGCGGCGCCGTGGCCGTGGTCGTCCACCGCAAGGAGAAGAGCTCGGCGGGGTCCATGTCGATGAACGAGAACGACCTGGAGCTGCCGATGGAATGACCGAGGTCGGCGTCGACGACGAGGCGCTCGAGCGACGGCTCCCGCGCGCCTCGCTTCGTCAGCCACCCGCGGGAGAAGCTGTCGCCGAGGAGCTGCAGCTGCGGGGGCGGGGCGACCTCCATGAGGGCCTCAGCCTGGCCGGCGTGCGTGCGTGGGACGGGAGACGACGCGGCGGGTCGCGGTGCCAGTGCCAGTGCTGAGGGCGGCCACGGCATGGGCACGCGCAGATATAGGCGCCGCGCGGTCGTCGTCCCGTGCGCCCGTCGTCTCGTCCCTTGTGGCGTCTGGCGCAATGCCCATGTTGCCCCTGTCCCGTGCCGCCCTTCTATTTCCTTTCCCTGCGATTTTATTTCATTTTTATTTTTCCTCCCTCCCGTTTATTAGGCTTATCGCTGTCATGGGCATGGCAACACGGATTAAAGTCTTGTCCCGTGAGAAAACGCATCGGGTTTCGATGTTCAGGTCGCTGTACGCGGACGGATTTTCGACAAATACAAACATACAAAGTGCACGATGATTTGTATTTATTCACTATTCAGGATGTGGTGTTATCCGTTCAACTTCAGCTCTTTGGAGGATATAAAAGGATAGATTGTATCGTAGGTATTTTGGCTTGAAGGACCGCCTCATTTTAGATGAGGCGGTGCATCACGCAGGAGCATAACCGAAATTATACATAAGAGTAGCTGGTCAAAGAGATCCTCATATGTTGTGGTAGAACCTAACCAACCGAAATCGTTATAGTTGTTCCTGTTCTTCTGGATTTATTCCAGTATTAAACGATTTATAATACTATTCTTTCGGTGACATACGACCATTTGTCAATAACGAGGCACATGTGTTAACTCATTAATTCTTAAAATTTAGCGACTTAGTATTTCAAAGGTGCTTATAGTGGTTTATGATAAACGTTTTTCAAAGGGATGAGTACACGTGCATGTATCATGTATGTGAACATATACATTTGTACTATGATTTACAGTAAAAAGAGAGTCAATATATAATAATTAATAAGAGCATCGCTCAATAAGATTGATGATGATAAAATATTGATGACTACTGAAAAATTATTACTATATTAATTAACGTTTAGTAAAATGTAAATATAATAAACTCTAAGTATGCATATAGTAAAAGGTAAAATTTAATAAACTCTAAGTAGGCAAACAAGTTTAGATGAATCAAAATATTTTAATTTGATTTTGTGTTTTGTGTGATTTTATTATCTATAGACATCAATCAATATATATATGACAAGATTTACTATATCTTTTTTAATATAAATATAGTAATATAGACTATTAAACTACATGTTAAGTAAAAAGATATTGTTGTGTTGTTGTTGCTGCGGAGGGGGGCATGGCCCCTGCTGCCCCCTCGGCTCCGCCCTCGGTTGTGGCTAGTGTGACCACCTACCGAGAATTGAAGGCATATGACGATCTGAGTAGTTGTACTTGTTTCCGCCCGTCCGGCCAGCCTCAACAAACACCAATACTAGCCCACCGCATCGATTGACGCTTGACAACACCACCTTTTTGCACCCCATCCTAGAGATTTTGGCGAAACGAAAATTTGTCGTCTACACTGCAACATTATCAAGCCACCTAAGTTGAGGGGACGGGCTTGCGTCGCCTACATCAATCAATATATATATATATATATATGATAACCGTAACTTTCTCAATATAAATATAGAATATTAGACTATATGTTAAGTAAAAAAATGTTATGTTGTATGTGTGAGGTGGGGGGCAATGGCCCCCTCCTGTCGCCTCGACTCTGTCCTTGGCATCACAAGTCAATTTATGAAATTTAGTGAAATGATTATATTCCTCGTATTAATAGTATATAATTATCCGTTCCGCCTCTTGTACCACCAGCGACCGCTCCGCCACCACAACCACCGGCGGCACCCGTCCCAGTTGCGCCAGCCAACAACAAGCGCCCGGAAAAGAAGAGGTTAAGCAATCTTGTCATTTGCACCATTGCATTGGCCACCCGTGCCCGAAAAGAAAAAAAGAAAAGAAAGGGAGTGAGAAGAAGAAAGAAACAGGGGCATAAATAACATTTCACCGTTCTTCTCTCTCCTCGAAAGTCAGCAATAAATATTTTATTGGGTCCGATGTCCACCAGTAAATTTGACAAGAAACAAAGTGTCCACCAGCAAACTGCTCTATTTTGCATATCCGCTAACAAAGAGAGACCACTTTCAATGTCATGTAGCAAATTTTGCCAATATAAAATGTTTCAGAGAATCGCATACATTTTATAGCGATTTTTATGCCATGACGAAAACAATCAGGGACCAATGAAAACCAAACTATCGGGTTTCGATCCAATAGCTACAAGCCAACAAGATTTTACGAATAAACTGTCCGGACTCAACAGATAGATATACATAGTCAGTGGCGGATCCAACGGTGGCGCGGAGGGGAGGGGGGCGGGGAGGGGGGTCCTCCCTATATCGGAGCAGTGGAATCCCCTGGAGCTCCATAAATTTTTAGGTAAAATTCTATAGTGTAGGTGAGGCTGAGACTTAAGATTGAGCAACAGTCAGAGATATGTGTTGTTCAGCCCTCTAAAATTTTTCATGGATCCACCGCTGTAAATTCAAACGAAAGGTGAATGCAGTAAATTGTAGAAGGCTCAGCTATGTGCAGGTGCAGCTGTGACGGCACAGTGTACAAGCCAAAAGTACAAGGCAACGTTGGTATGTCATTTCACAGCGTATTAGGCAAAATGACAAGCATCCTGGCATCTAATCCCATCCCATCCAATCCGGCACCCTAAGATTAATGCTCAAAGGCAAACTTAGGCTCCGTTTAGATTCCAAAAAATTTGCAGGTGCATTACATGTGACGGCACAGTATACAAGCCAAAAGTACTAAATGTAGACGAAAAAATACTAATTGCACAGTTGGGTGAGAAATCGCGAGATGAAACTTTCAAACCTAATTAATCCATAATTAGACACTAATTGCCAAATACAAACGAAAGTGCTACAGTAGCCAAACCAAAAAAAATTGGATCTAAACACGCCCTTATGTCGCCACGAGAAGAAGACTATAAACAAAATGCAAAAAATGAAAAAGAAAAACTCGTGAGGCCAGGGGTCAGTCGGGTGGTTGAGCTAATCCTGACAAAAATGGGCGACAACGTTGCCTCGGCACGGCGACGTCATGTCCCCCCGGACCTGATGCCGAGACGGGACCGATTTGCGTCCAAATTCACAGCTGCGGACGCCAGGAATAGCAAGTTGCATGAGCATTCGCTACTAAGGCCCGATTTAGTTTCCAAAAATTTTTACCCCAAATTATTACATCGAATCTTACGGCATATGCATAAAATATTAAATATAGATAAAAAAACTAATTGCATAGTTTAGTTGAAAATCGCGAGACGGATGTTTAAGACTAATTAGTCCATGATTAGCCATAAGTGCTACAATAACTAACATGCGCTAATGATTAGGCTTAATAAATTCGTCTCGCAGTTTCCATGCGAGCTATGTAATTAGTTTTTTATTAGTATCCGAAAATCATTTCCGACATCCGAAACATCCGATGTGACATCCAAAAATTTTCATTTCAGCGAACTAAACACACCCTAACACTACTCTCTACGTCCATGTCTATCGTTTTCGTTTTCCGAAAAACAACTTTAACTAAGTATATATTAAAAAATATTAATATTTATGACATATAATTAATATCATTGGATAGATATTTGAATCTAGTTTTTCATAAATTTATTTAAAGATAATAATGTTGTACGTATTTTCTATAAATCGAGTTAAAGCTATCGACTTGCAAATCGTGGCGACCAATATTTAGTTACATAGAGTATTTTCTTACCGTCCAATCTCTATTAATGGATGGTTCATACATTTTTTCCAATCATCGAAAAACTTGTCAAAAAGAAAATGTTGGAGAGAGAACAGCTGCTACGCATGAGCAGTACAGCAGGTGTGGTCATCTCCTAACAAGTTGCTGGAAATTTTTGATAGGAATCTATGGAGAACTATATATGCTTTTCTTATGATATCATTTCACGTTGTCCAATCTCGGATTGGGGCCAGAGCATTCGGGGCATCACGATGGATCATTCAGATCATGGAGCATGGGACGTGTGTGGCAGGTTTGGGTTATGCATGATTAGCGGCAAAGGTGATAGAATACGGTTCAAGGATCAAGAGCACGCATGGTCCAGGACTCCAGGCACAAAAGCTAGAGAGACCCTCGAACAAAGGAGACTGTCTGTGTAGCCATCTCGCAGCAACGAAGACACCCGGACATACCAGTTCGCCGTCCTAGGCTCACAGGTTCCACCCGTGCGGTTGTTCTGTCTCTCGGCTTGGGCCTTGGGGTTTGCAGCAAGCGACAGGTTTAGTCAGCATCGATGCTGGCTGCTGCTGGTATTCATGGTAGATTATATTGGTACATATGATCCTGTCGGCACAAAAATGTGTCAACACGTAGCAAGCTGAAAGGATCTCCTTAGGATGAGTCCGGAGATCCGCTTGGCTTCAACGTAGGACCAACCGATCCTGCGAATTTCCCGAAGGCGTGCCAGTCAATTTGACCTGCAATTGACAAGGAGAGAAAGTTTATCAGTAATTTAAGGTGGAACATGCCGGTTTTGCCCAGACAGTTCCAAGTGTGCCGTTTTAGGAGCATCCAGACGGGAAAATCGACTAGATAGCCGATACGAGAAGAAATCGGCTGTTAAGGACTGTAAAGCTCGCGGGTCGTGATTGATTTTATAGTGATGACTACGATACATCCAGTTTTAATGATTCTTTCCCTTAAGCTATTAACATGTATACATTAGAGATACATCACTGACTAAATTAGATCTGATCAATACGTAGTGTAGAGCCAAAAAATTCGGTGAAAAGGGATATGCCACGTAAACAATCGACTGTTTGATTAAGAATGGTAGCGGATCGGGTTCGGGGCGGATATCCGTGGGTTTCGGGTCCGCGGTTTTGATTTCGGATCCTGATTTTCGCCCACGGATTTGCGGGTTCGGATACCCGAAATACCGCGGTTTTGGGGCGGATCCTGAATTTCATCCTTGTTGCTCGTCGCTCAACCAACCCTCAATCCCTCACCCGCACCCA